GCCAGCAGCTCTCAGTCCAAGCCCAGCTCTGTCACAGCCCAGTTAGCTCCTGAGACCTTGCTGGATGCCCAAAGTCAGCCTGAGTAGCCAGCACAGCTCACCAGCGCTCCCCTGGATGCTCCAAGGGCTTGCTGCAGCCCTCCCCATGCCCTCAGAGGGTTCCCCACTCACACAGCAGGGAACTCACTCCTTGAAAATACATTGGTCAATATTTATCTACTGTTAAAAGCCAGTTCCTCTATCTGACAAGCCCTGGAGAAGCCAGTGAGCCTGCTGGCTCCAAATCACAGCTCAGTTTCTCTTCCAAAACACCCTAAATCCAGGCTAAAAATAAATGGGCTTTATTGATTTCCTTTTTTAAACTAACACCAGGGACTGATGTGTTCAGTGCTCAAGGAAGAGCAAAGGGTATTAGTCACAGGGAAGTACAGTCACAGCGCTCTGAACCCTCTGAGGGTGCAAATAAAGCCCATCTCACACCCAGCCCCTTGCACAAGGCCTGGGGAAAGCAGCAGGAGAGCTGTCGGTCTGGCCCACAGGGGTTATCCCATGGTCCAGCTCAGCTGCAAGGCCCCAGTGCAGAGGCAGCCCCCAGCACTGCCCAGGGTCACCCCAGCAGGTTGCTTTTGGGGGACTTCAAAACCCATCCCCATACAGAGGCTGCATGCGATATGCCCGGGTGGGAACACCCCAAAGCAGCACCAAGTCAACAGAGAGGAGATGTTTGCTCACTGTGCTGCAGACACATCCTGAGCCCCAGCCTGGTCCTCAGAGGGCAAGTCACTGCAGGAGAGGGGAGCCCCCGTGCTGGGCAACGCAGGCAGCTGGGTAAGGGGCCAGCTGTTCTGCCAGGGCAGGCAGGACTGAGGGCAGGCAGGACTGAGGCCCATCCCACACTGCCCAAGGCAGGCAGGGCCAGCAACAGCAACCAGCATCAGCCCAGTGCCACAGCATATCCCCAGCAAAGGGGAGCAAGGGCTGACGGCACCTGAGCTTAAATGCAGTCTGCTGCGGGGGGCGGAGGGTGTGGGTGAGAGCCCAGATGGGGCTTGGCAGGGCAATCAGCACTCAGGGCCCTGAAACTCTGTGAAGAGCTGTTTGTCTCCTTAAATTTACAGCATCACAAGTCTCTGCCAGACAAAGACTGTTTTGTTGGTGGTTGCAAAGAGACAAGAGAAAGGCTTGGGAGGACGTGGGGCTGCGCTTCTCCTGCCTAATGCAGCAGGCAGCAGCCCCAGCTCGCTGCAGCATCCTCTTCCTCCTCATGCTCGTTGCCTCACCCCAAGGCAAGGCATGCTGGACGTGCCGAACAAACCCCGTGACGTCCCTCTCTACTCCCCTGGGTAAGCCCAACCACAGAGATATTGCACATCTGCCCAGCTGTTTTGAACCACAGTCACAAGTTTCACATCATTTTCTCCCTGAGCAAGTAGAGAGAAAACCTCCCTGAGGTGACCGCTGCCTGCACGGCACGTACGTGTCGAGGCAGGAGAGGCTCCAGCCTGGCTGAAACAGCACCCAGCTGATGTCCTGCTCCTGGGGGAACGTAATGTGGCCAAGGCTGGGGACCCACCACCCCAGGCCAGATCCACCCAGTACCTCCAGCTGGGGCATTGCTTTCGCCAGGTTGGATCAAAAGGCTTTGCTTTGTTTCCTATTAAAATCCCTTCAACGCTTGGGAAGACAGATGCTGAGAAGCTAAATCCCAGCAGCATTTGTGAATGCGCTCCCTCCTGCCAGCACTGGATGGGATATTCCTTCCAGATGCTCACGGCGTGCTCCAAGCACGCTTGCTGCTCTCCTCCCTCGGACAGATTCGCTTCCCCAGCTGCAGCCCCTCACCGCCATCAGGAACCCCCATCCTTGCTCCACAGGCGGCCAACCCCCTCCTCTGCCGGCGGTGGGTGGCAGGGTGGGAACCCGACGCCACTGTGAAGCCCAGCCAGGGTGTGGGACGTTGCATCAGGGGGAAAAGCCAAGCACAGAAGCTGAGCTCTGTTTATTAACGGGTGCATGGGGTGTCCATTCCCCACAGGTGAACACCAGCGTCCTGCTGCTCTGAATCACTCCAGTTTCAAACAGAGCAGGCAGTGGGGTTGGAAGGGCTCTCCAGAGATTTATCTCATCCTGGGTTATTCGCACAGAGGCTGCGGGACACAGGAGACAGCAAAAGGTAGCCCATGAAATAGATGCCGCAGAAAGCTTTGCCCGCGGCAAGCAAAGAGGGCGCATTGCTAGCCAGGGAAAGGGCGCCTGGCTTGGCCAGCCCATGCTGCACTCAGATGCAGTGGACAAAGTGGGGGTCCCACAAAAGATGGGGTAGCCAAGAGGTGCCCAGCAGCCCTCCGCACCTCCCTCCACACCGGCTAGCCTGGAAACACATCCTAAATAAAAGCTGGGCTTGGATAAATAAATGCATCCGGAAAACACCAGCCCACCGAGCTGCAGTGGAAGGAGAGAATTTAACTTTTCTTATTTTTCCCCCAGCCCTCCTCAAAGCACCCCCCGGCAGGCTCTCCAAGCCTGCAGCCCCCTGCCCACCCCGGCAGCCAGGTTTCCCTGTGGTGGGCACTCACCAAGGGGCGAGGGCAGCTCCCTGCTGCCTGCAAACGGAGGTGGGGGCACCCAGGCATCGGCTCCCTGCACGAGCAGTGGGCAAGCCCCGGTTGGGGCTGCGTTTGAGGGGGGAAGCATGCAGGTCCCTCCCCAGCAGCGCCGGCACCAGAGCAGGTTTCGGTGCAGAGCCAGGCTGCCAGTCCTGCTCAATCGCCTGGAGAGCGAAGGCACTGCTCCACGCTGGCTCTGCCCCTCCACCGCTCGGCCAAGACGTTGGCTCGGAAAGGGAAAAACAAATCCCCAGCTGCCGCCAGAGCCTGGCTGAGGGATAGCAAATATGCTGGCCAGATGCAGGGCATGGGGCTGTGCTTGGGGGCTCCAGCGAGGGGGGCGGCTGAATCAGCCTGCGGCAGGAGCACCCGGGCTGCCGCGGGGACTTGGTGGGGACAGTTCTCTGGATAACACATGAAGTTTCAACCAGAGGTTGTAATTTCCTTATTGGAGGGGGAAAAAAAAATAAAAAAAACAGTGAGGGTTTTACTCCGGCCTCGCTGTGGCCAGGTTTGTCTCTGATATTTTCCCACCAGACTCCTCCAGTTCAGTGCCGGGTGACGCTGAAGCCAGCATGGCCAGCAAGCGGCAATCCCTGCTGCTGCAGGCGGCTGTCCTGCTGCTGGAGCAGGGAAAATCCCACCTGCAGAGGCAGGAGTGGGCCAGCAAGCATCCCGGAGGTGGAGGATGCTTGGGGTGCTTGGAGCATCTTCTCCTTGCTCAAGCCATACTTGCTGCCCTTGCCCAAGGCCGATGTTCCCCTGGCAAACAGTGGCTTGTCCCTGGTGCCCCAGTGCTGCAGGGAGCAAAGCAAGCCTGGGAATGGGGAGCCAGGAGCAAACGCAGGGATGCTTGCTGGCGGGTTGGAGGTGGTCCTGGTGCATCCTTCCAGAGAGGGGAGTGGGACCTCCTGTGCCAAGTGGGCAGGAGAGTGATGGACATGTTCAGCCTGTCTGCTACCCACAAATAATGGTGGAGACAGTCAAGATGAAACATCCACCCAAAGGGCCAAGCCCTGCACACCTCTAGCCCTCAATCAGCCCTTAACAAGGCAAAGAGAGGGGGACCACTGCGGACAGATAGAAAGCAAAGCAATGCAGGCGTCCTCAGTAGACCTTGAGATAAAAAGCAGGAAAGGGAATACTTGGCAAAATTGAATCTGTACAAATCAGCAGGTCTGGATAATATGTAACCCCCAGACTAAATAAAATTAGCTAATGAACTTACTGAGCCCCTGACAATTACTCATAAAAAGTTACTGAGAAAACGGCACATCCCAGGTTTATTTAATGTCTTCATTAATGATCTGAAAGAAAGAGTAAACAACAAATTAATTATGTTTGCAGATGACTGTAAGCTGGAAGGTGCTGCAAACGCTACCAAAGACAGCAAAGTCACACCAAGGGCCCTAAAGAGGTTAGAAATAAACCAGCAGGAAACAAGCCGTACGTAATCCATCAGTGAAACACGGCGCCAGGGAAAAAGGACCTGAAATATAGACATCCAAGAGGAACGAGGGGTGTGCTGCACAAGATCCAAGCAGGAGGCCAGGAGCAGGTTTAGAGGGGGATGGAGAGATGGGAGATGAGCTACACTGTGAGCAAGCAGAGCCCCAAAACCCACCGAGGCTCTGCAGGGCAAGGGGTGGGGACCCAGGCTGGGTGGGATACTGCGTCTCCGAAATGTTGTGACCTTGTCCTTAACACATGTGGCATTGGCTTTGCACCAGGGGGAGAAGCTGGAAAGCTCTTTTCCCTGTGCCACACTAGCACAGTTGGACCATTATGAACCCCAAGGGCTGAGGATCATGCCGATTGCCTTTAGTCGTGCTGAGAGAGGCACAAGCTTTGGCTAGCTGCTTTGGCAGGCAGCAGGGAAGGAGGCACGATGGCAGGCAGGCCAGCTCGCTGGGGGATACAGCCGGGGATGGGTACCATGGCTTTGGGACTGAGCTGCTCATCAGGGCCTGCAAGGGCACTAGGAGCTGGTTTTGCTCCCCCAAAAATGCCTGGTGTCAGGGAGAACCACGGATGCCTCACTTCGCCTGGAGCAGGCGGTGCCTCCGGAGCCACCCTTTGCACCCCACAGCGGGCTCCTTCCCCCCTCGGCAGTGGTGGCCTCTCCTCCCTTGCCTCGCCCTGGCAGGAACAAGGGCGCTTTGAGCAGTGGGTGGGTGGCAGGCAGTCAGGGGCCTCTATCCCTTTAAGAGAGAAAATTGACTTTGTAATCTGAGCAAATTCCTGCTTTCTGACAGGCGGGAGAAGTTACGGGTCCCTCCCTCGCTCCACTTTATTAAATATAGTAGTAGCAGCAGCCCTCGCCTGGAAGCAGGCGCTGGTGGAGGCTGTACCGTGCCTGGAGCCCGAGCCACTGCTCCAGCCCCAGGGGACACCATGGGTGCCCGAGGTGGCACTGCCACACTGCTGCTGCTGCTGCTGCTGGCCTGCCAGCCGCTGCCCCTCTGCGCAGGACCCCCAGCCGGAGGTAAGCCCCGTCCCGCCAGCCCACCCAAGGGATGGTGCGGTGAGAAACCCGGGAGGATAAGGCTCGGCTTCGGGTGCACGGGGTGGGCTGGGAGGGCTGGGCACCTAGCAGGGAGCGGTGTGGGCACCCATGGGTGCAGGATGTCCCTCCTCGAGTTGCAGGGGACCTGTCGCCAAGCTGGCAGGAGCAAGGAGAGGCAGCTGCCTGTTTTCAGGCAGGGTGTTTGGGCCAGGTTGCCCTTTGGGAAAGCTGAGTGAGGGAGCAGGGCTGCTCACCCACCATGACTCTCAGGGCACTGTGTACCCTGGCTGTGTCTGATGCTTTCCCCAGGGGCACCCACAAACGTGGTGCTGGGTGGGATGGGGCTCGCTCCCTGCATGCATGCATGCAGGAGCTGCAGGGCTTTGGGCTGCGGCGTGGGCAGCCCACGGGAGAAAGGCACCTTCCCGCTCTGCCAAAGCCCCGTGCCATGGGGACGGAGCACGGGCACGTTCCGCAGCCCCAGTAGGGAGAGCCAGCCCTCCCTGCCCATGTTTGGCCTTGCCACAGTAGCTGCCTGTGAGAGCAGCCCCTCTCATCCAAGGAGCGGGGGCTTGGACAGTGCCGGTGGGAAGGATGGAGCTGGGCATCGTTTGCCAGGGTGTGTGTCACCTCCCAGCTCTGCTCCATCTGTCAGTCCTGTGCGCCTGGGGTGGCTGGGTGCGTGGGGTGAGGGGCTTGCCTCTCCTGCCAGCACAGCCCCAGAGGGGTGCAGGATCACCCCTCTGGTGATGGGGCACCAGGGCCTGTCCGGGGCTGAGGGTCTCCCCCAAGAGAAGGAGCCCCAGTGCCTTGGGACAGGCTGGCCCCAGGCAGCAGGGAGGGCAGGGGACGCTGGCTGCTGCACAGGGACAGAGCCAGGCAGAGGGGTTATTGCAGGGCACGGGCTGGGTGGGGAGCAGAGCGGGTGATTTATGTCCAGTTTTCCCCAAGAAGTGGGCAGGTTTGACCACACGGCTCTTGGCATGGTGGTGTTCCCTGCCGCAGCATCCTAACGGCCATCCCGCAGCGCCGCTCCCGCCCTGCGCTTCCTCCCTGTGCTTTCTGCCTCCTGCTCCCTCCCCTGCTCCAGGATGCGTGTACCTGCGATCGTCTGAGCCTCAGCAGGCTCTGCGGGGTCTGGACATGGGTCTCATCCTGCTCAGGACAGTTCTGCACCTTAGCCCGACCGTCCAAGCTGCGCTTGGGGTCTAACCAACCACTTGCACTGGGTTAGTAGCATCCACAGCTTCAGAAGTGAAGTGGATTTAAAAAGTACTTTTTTCTCCTAACTCACCCCAAAAATAATATAACATCTCATGGAGCAGTTTCTCTTCCCCAGCCCTCCCTGGGCACCAGGACTCTGATCAGTGGTGGGGCAGGAGCTTGCTTTGTCCAAGCAGTTTGCAAAGGAATTACTGACAACCTCTGGTCTTTTGCTCCCCAACCATCTTCTGCATCCGAGCCTGTGTGGATTCAAGGAGGAAGAGGATGATCCCAGGGCCCAGCCCTGTGGCCCTCGGCACCTGCAAGATCCCTGAAGGTCCCTTGTTGTCCCCTTTCCCTCCCCAGCAAGCAGGTGGCCTCCAGGGACATGCTCCTCTCCTTCCCTCCTGCCTTGTTCCTTCTTTTTTTTCCATGCATCAAAATATGACGATGCCTGGCAAGCTGAGTGGAAAAAAAGTCCCTTTTGTTAATGAACAAAGTGGTCTTCTTCCTTCCAGCCTTGACCTTTCGATCCCAGGCAGGGATTTCACCACGTGGAACCATTGCCCACTCGGGTGTCCAGGATGGCTCCCGGGGCTGTCCTGGCACTCCCAAGCTCTATCATGGTGAATGGGCTGGAGCAACCCCAAAAACCAGCACATGGCTTTCACTGGCACCTGCCAACTCCCAGGTTCCCCCCAGGTAACACCACCCATGGCCAGGGCACAGCTCCAGGGATCAACGGGCATCTGCCTGGCACAGACCCTTGGGGCCGGGAAAGGAAAGGGGTTTTACACCCTTTTTCTGATGCTGGAGACTATTTCTGCACCTGGCCGAAGCAGATGTGCCAGCCACAATGCCAGGTCTGGCTACCAGCCTCCTGTGAGCCCCATCCCCTTGGGAGAATCCCTACCGAGACCACCAGCGCTGGCGCGAGGCATTCCCACGTGCTGCCTGCCCTGGGACATCCTTCCATCCCCATCAGGGAGAGCCACACCAGCCATCAGCAGCACGCCAGGCACGGGGCTGGGGCGGGCTCGTTTTTAGGGGTGAAGCCCATGTTTTGCGTTTCCTCCAAGTCCAGGTTCAGGGGCCCGGGCATTCTGCCGAGCCCGAAATGGAAAGAGTCACCGTGCACATCAACAAATACAAGATTATATCAAAAAGAAAAAACACTCATAAAACTTGTCCTCTTGACATCTGAGTGTGAAGCTTTAGTAAACTGTTTTTAGACAGCCTGGCTCTCCTCTCCCAGTGAGGTCACGCACAGGCTGAGCTCTCCCTTCCCCAAAAACCTTCTCGCTGGGGGTTTGTAATGAGGAGGGATGCGGGGAGAAGAAGGAATTGGATGTGTAGCATCCCTGTGAGCAGCGTTCACCCCGAGCTTCCAGCAAGGGAGTGCCAAAAATGTGACCCCCAAGTCTCGGGTGGACTCCCAGCAGCGGTGATGGGGGTCCTGGGTAGGTGAGGGTGACCCCGGCTTGTCCATGGCTGCCCCATGCAGAGTACCTGCTCATGGGCTGGGAACAGTGTCTGCCCCAGGGAACCCGGCCGGGACCCCTCCTGCCTTACCCAGCGTTGTCGGGTCTAGGGATCTGCCTCGGCTATTCCTCTCCTCAACTTTTAGAAATCCGACCAATTTATTCAAACTTTCTTTTTTGTGAATGTGCCACATGTTTTGAGGTCATAGCTCTAAGCAGCTGGAAAAGTTTCCAGCTGATGGGAAAGAACAGGAAAAAGGCTGAAAAAGGGGGGAGAATGCAAACCGGTATCGTGGGAATCAGGGAGGAATATTCTCATCTCACTTTTATATTTAGCAACAGAGAGCTGCAGGCAAATATATAATAAGTGCATTCCTCCAAGATCGCAGGACAGGGTTAAGCTCACCCGGAGGAACGAACGTCAGGTTGAAGGCTGGACAGTAACAGGACTTTGGAGGCGGCAGGCTAATGCTGTCTGTGTGCCTAAATAAAGCTCAAAGCACAGACTGTTCACAACAGGCGTTGGCTCAGCCCAGCCTCAGCTCCCAGGGGCTGCTCCCTCGGCCCATTCCAGGTGCCTGGAGGGGCCGAGCTCTGGCTTGTCTCCTTTTTGGGAATCCAGCCTCGCCGAGCGTTAGCATCACCCCCGGCCTTCAGCTGGGAAAGTCCTAGAAACTCCCTGACTCATATTTGTACACTTCTCGGGTATTGCCGGGGCATCCCAGGCCATGTCCACGTGCCCAAGTAACCCCAGCAGGTACAAGGCAGGTCTGCACGCAGCGCAACCTGGTTTGCAACCAGCCCTTTCACCTCCCCATATCTCCAAACCTCTTGGAGACATGGAGCGAGGAGGCTGCCCGTCAGAGACCCCTCGTTCCCAAAGCCCTTTCCCAAGCTATCTCCATCGTGCCTGGTGCTTGGTTGCACATTTCGATGCTACACATCAATGGGATGCCCCATCAAGCTTTTCTAGGGTAAATGTAACAGAAAAACTGAGGTCAAGAGAAATGTGTTATGATCTTTCTCCCTGAGCTGCTGCAGTGGGAGCGGACATGCCTGCATGACACTCATTTTACTTGTGAAGTTTGCAAATGGATCGGAGGCTTTTTGTTAATGTGGCACAACCAGAGAACCCACTTTGCCTTGTGGCAAAGCCAAGGGCTGCTTTGCAAAGCAGAGCCCAGAGTCAGGGCAGCTCTGGATTCTGCAAAGGCAGGCTTAAAACCAGAGGAGTGGGACTGCTGCAGCTCTTCCCAACCCTGGGATGGGGAGAATGCAGGTTTGCCGCCAGGTTGTTGCTTATTAGCTGTTGTTCATCCTCAGGACAGACCAAATAGGGCCTCCGAGCATCCTCCTGCCAACCGGCAGCGAGGTGGGGTGAAAGATGTTTATGCCCCGTGCTCTGGATCCAAGAGGGTGATAAATTCCCATTTTCCATCCTTCCTCCCTGGGTGTGTCGCCTGCGCCAGTTGTGCGTCGCTCTGTGCAATACCTCTGGGAGCTGCCCTGCGCCCAACGGCTGCTCTTGGCTGCCTGACAGCCGGACAGACAGACAGTAGCAGACAGAAAGCATCCCGGAGAAGGGAGGGCACTGCCAAAAATTGATGGGAGTGGAGAAAGTCATGGGGCAAACAGCATGGGTTGGAGGTGGTCAGTCCCATCATGTGCCTCCAAGCCAAGGAGAAAGAAAAGTAACATTCATCCATCACCGTGACTCACTGGCTGTCCAAGAAGCCTTCTTGGGCTGTGAGTCAGCTCAGGATGGCCCCCATGAATCCCTGCTGTTTCTTTTGCCCAAATCTTGGCTTTCTGGTGGTTGTTTTTCCTCCCGGCTGCGGGTGGGCAGGGGAAGGGTGGGCGGGGGGCGGGGCTGGGGTCAGAGCCCCTGGCTGCCTGTGGTGCCATCCCCAGGCATGTTAATGGATGCTCCCCATCTGTTAGCATGCCCTAAGCCCCGCCCAGTGCTCCCCAGTGCACAGGCAGAAAGAGAGGGGGTTCAGGAGGAATTTCCCATTCCCTTTCCCAGCCTCTGGCTGGGCTTCAGCCGGGCTTCAAGGTTCTTGTGCATCCCATCCCACAAAAATTTCTGGGCCCACCAGGGTCATTTCCTCTGGGAGCCGGGGAGGAGAGAGGGAAGTTTTGACCCGAGGTAGATGTGGCTGCAAAAAGCCTCCTGTCCTGCCCTGCAGCCCTGGGAGGGGATGTGCGCGCCCGCTTCCACACCCCCACAGCCCCACGCGGCCAGCTATATGTCCTTCCCGCGCTAGAAATAGAGCAGGCATTTATTTTCTCTAT